CCTCAGACGCTCTCCTTTGCTTTAGACGTGAAGAATGCAAAGAATATTTTGTTCCTCTTGACCCCAAGCTGCCTCGATCACCTTTTTTAAAATGAGTCTGCACCACTTTGCGCAGTTTAAGCCCCACTTCCCCTCTCCCTTTTATTCCGGCAACTTTAAATGTCCATATATGCATCCACAATGAGGCAAACATAGCGTCGCCTGGTAAATTCTCCGTGCATGTATAAAAGATAACAAGGAGTTCATGAGAGAGGAATATGATTCAGAAAGTCAAAACAAGCTCAGTATTGTTAAACTGTCACAATGATTGAAGGCTCAGTTATCAAATGTGAATCACTCTCCCTGGAGAACCCCAGTGCAACAGCTGTGTTTATTTCATTCTCGCTGCGCAAAATCGCTATTAATTTCTGCTAATATTTTAATGGCTCCTCAAGATGTGAATTACGTGACAGACGGTAACTTTTATAAGCTGACTTAGTGCTGACAAATGATGCGGTCTTTGACTTGTGGCAATAAGCAGGCTGTAAACCACAGACCTTACAGCTGTCAGAAAGTGATCATGAGCAGTGACAAAAAAAAAATGACGTTATATTCTGCTGCTTTATTCCTTCTGAGCAAAGTGTCGGAGTATTGGAAGAAATTGATTTGCACTATTGTGTTCTCGGTGTGACTTCATTGCCGGTATTTTAAATTTAACATTCACCTATTGGCAAAACTGTAATCTAATTTTAATAATAGATATAATAGTAATAATAATAATAATGATAATATTAATAATCCTTGCAATTTCACATTGGGGAATATCTCAAAGCACTTTGCAGGATTTACTGTAAATTACTGTATATTTTGTATGTACAGTGACTGTATAATTTGTAGGCGAATAATGTGGGCATCGTCTAGTGTTAAAATAAATGGATAAAACCAGGCAGAGGGAATGCGCACTTAGTTAATTAAACAAATAGGTACCGGAAGAAGTGTGCACACAAATACTAATAACACTATTTAGATGAGGAATAACAGACCACCTGCTCGGCCTCTCCCACCATCATCCCTGCAGTTCAGAAGAACAATCAGCAGGTCGAACGGGCTGTCATTCAGGAGAGACAAAATGAAATGAAGTGGGAAGAGAATCTTTTGTGGCAGACGGTAAAGAAGCAGCACTGACCACCTCAAGGGCTGGTGAAATCGAGTGGCTAACTCTCCACTGTGCTCCATTGGACTGGACTGCATCCGCTGTGTGAGCAGCACCATCCAGTGGGCATCAGCAGAACTCACAGAACTCAGTGAGACGACCTTTCTAACTGAAGGCAAAATACTACAGATGCTGGAAATCTGAAATAAAACCACAAATCGCTGCAGAAAGGAAAGTGAGTTAACGTTTCAGGACGAGTTCTGACGACAGGTCATCGACCTGAGACGTAAACTCATGTTTCTCTCTCCATGGATGCTGCCTGACCTGCTGAGTGTTCCCAGCGACTTCTGTTTTTATGTCCTTTTTAACTACACAAGCAAGAGTCAATTCATGCTTTGCAGTGAGAACGAACGAGTGAAGAGGACCAGAAAAGATTATTGCGGTCAATCTAGCTGATCCCAGAATAAGTAAGTAAGTAAAGTTAAATAGATAGATAGATAGATAGATAGATAGATAGACATACATACATACATACATACATACATACATACATACATACATACATACATACATACATACATACATAAATAAATAAAAACACAATTTCCAAATAGCTACTTAATTCCCTCTTGAATTTGTCAGTCATATATATCCCACCCGAGCTGTCAGTTCACCTACATCTTTTCAGTCCACGTCACCTCTCATTTTAGATTTTTGCCCTTGTTAAAAAAAACATTGCAGTGTGTATTTTTAACCACAACACTAACCAAATACAAAAAAGCCTGCAGCCTGGGTCAAGGCATACAACAAAGGATGTGAACCTGAATTTGTATGAGGGGGTAGGAAAAATGACATTGGTAAAAGGACAAACGGATTTGGATGTAAGTTCTGACCAGTCAAACATCAACATCAACAACTTGTATTTGTATAATGTCCTTTGTGCAGGATAGCGTCTCAGAGCGCTTAACAATAGTACAGTTTGATGCCAAGCTGAACCTGTTTGATTACAAGACCCAACAGGTTAGCCGAACCCCGTAACACTCTGTAAGTGAACTGACTACTGTGTGTAAGGAGGATTCCAAGATTCTGAGGACAGGTTCACAGAGTGGAGCTCTTTTCTGACCAGAGGGAAGAGTGAGACACAAACTAAATCTTTCAAATGATGAAAGGCATAGATGATTTAGATACAAGCAGGTAGGTATGTGCAGTAGTCACAGGACTGCAGGGCATAGTTAAAAAGTGAGCAAACTGCAGTGAGGTAAACTTTTACCTAGCACGGCGGAATGCAAGTCCCTTTTAAAGAGAGCTGGAGGGATTTGTGTCTAGAAAGGGGAGAGGGTCTGACCGCAGTTAATCAAATGCCTTATGGAACAAAACAGGTCCAGTCCTGATAGGATTACGAAATGAAAGATTGTGAATGGAAAACAACTGCAAAAATATAAATTAGCCTGCATTTATCCTCAATTATCTACGGGAGACACCACTTTGAGTTATTCACTTCCATCAGGAGATTGGCAATTTTCTGCTAGAACATTCAGCACTCAATAGGCCTCTTCTTGTTCCATGACGTCTATGACCAAACATGCCAAGCATGACCAGATGCTTCAATTTATTTGATTAGGTTTAAGTCTAGACACTCAAAGTGGTAAGATTGTAGTTAATAATAATAATAATAATAATCCTTGCATTTAATGCAGTGCCTTATCATGTCTTCAAGACGTCTCAAAGCGCTTCACAGAGTATACTGTAAAGTGTAGTGACTGTATATTTTGCGGGCGAAACTTGGCAGCCGATTGCACATGCCAGTATCCCACAAACAGTCGTGGATTGGGTGACCAGATTGTTATTATTTTGAAGGGATTATTACCCCCGGAAAAGCGATCCACCAATCGACAAACAACTACCTACTTACTGCTAGGTAAACAGAGGTGTGTGGAGTAAATGTTTTAAGTATTTGATTAACTGCAGTCACACCTTATCCCCTTTTTAGTATTTTAGGGTTTTTTTTATTTTTTTTTACTTGCAATCAAGTGATAAGACATTGTTTCCAAAGTATTACATTTGTTTCCAAAGTCCTAGGATTTTGAACTCATACAGTATAGACTTACAGGTGGTTGCCATCCTTCAGATGAGATGTTAAACTCATCTGCTTGTTCAGGCTTGCATTAAAGACATCATGGCGCCTTTCAAAAAGAGAAATAAGTTTCTCTCAGTGTCCTTCCTAACAGTCAGTCCCCCAAATAAAATTGCTCATTCACTTCATGGCTGTTTGTGCGACATTACTGTGCGTAAATTGCCTGCCATGTTTGCCTGCAAATGCACAGCCATTACAGTTCAGAGTAACTCTTAAAAATCATTACCTCTGTATCTGTATCTCTTTCTCTCTCTTTCTCATACTCCTCAATCAATTTTTTCACCAAATAGCTACTTCCTTCATGAATTTGTTGAGACAATCTGTGGCCACCAAGATTGTCCCTCGGCAGACCGTGCCACAGACTCAACGTTCTTCCTTAGATCTAAACTCGTCTATTCACTGTTCCTCTCCTTGGCCTGATTCAGAGCTCCTGAGTTTGTGGCTACACATTTAACCATATAGCATCTCTCCTATGGGCAACGATATATATTTAAGTAACAGGCTCCCAGACCCATGCAGAATTCTCTCTCCTGTCATTTGTTGCTCTGTAGATTATCCAAACTAATGCTAACGTGTCTTTGTATATAGATAACACAACTCTTCCCTTGACACTCAAGCAAGACTTAACGTATCAAATTTAACATGCGTCTCGAAGGCTAACAAACATTCTTTATCTCAGTAACTAGACTACTCTTTCCCAATCCGATTTCTTTTGCAGAAGAAGAGTATATTTAACTATATAAAAATTGAAGGACTGCAGCCAAAATGGCTCTTCTTTCATTAACATTCAGATTTAATGAGCCATATCACTATGCAGAGTGCACAAAAATATCAGGTTACGAAAGGTCACTTGTGGGTATGGCAGCATCTAAATAGGCCAAGCTTCACATAGGGATAATTCTCTCTGTCAAATTCAATTCAGCAAGCTGTTTAACATTGCAAAAAAAATAACATGCAAGCATAAAGATAACAGTGCATTCAAAAAAAAATGCTGGTTTCTGGATATTTGAAAACTGGTGGAGAATAAGATTCGAAACTTTTTGTGGTTTTTAACGACACACATTTTACATAATGTGAAAATGGAAATACGTAAGAAATAGATCAAATCTGCTTCTCGCCATCCATCTGCAAATAGCATCGCAGCTCGCAAATAGGAAGGTATATACATTTCTCTTACTATTTTTCACAAGCTTAAATGTATTCAGATGCATTGCTATGCAAAATGCCATCCCGTAACCCAGGATTAAAAGAGAGAATTAATAAAATGAATGCAGAGGGGGTTTTCTTTGCACAGCCAGAGGAAGTGATTACGGGTTGAATTAATCCTGTTTAAAGTCATTCACTTATGGAATTCACTGTCTGCAATGTATTCCAGTCAAAGTGAAGCATTCAAAAGGGGACTTGGATCAATTCAGGAGTCAGTGGGTTGTGGAGGGAGTAAGTTTGAGACAGAACAAAGGTTCTGATGAAAGCCAATTCAAATCCTGAAGCAGCGTCTGTACAATACCTGTGCTGGATGGACTGATGAAGCTTTTCTTCTTTCTACATTCTTAATGTATTAATAATAATAATCTTTGAATTTGATATAGGTCTATCGCATCAGGAGGACGTCTCAAAGGGCTTCAAAGTATTTACTCTGAAGTGTATTGACCGTTTATTTTGTAAGCAAATGGCGGTCAATTTGAACACAGAAACATCCCACAAACAGCAACAAAGTGAATAACCTTTCTTTTTTTATCTGGAGGATTTTCGGTCAGGACACTGAGAGAGATTCCACTATTTATTAATGTTATTCCAAACTCTACCTATTCAATCGTTAACTTTCACTGTAAGCCAAGATCAGACATTCAAACTTTATCATGGAGGTTTAGGCTGCGCTTTCAGCCTCGAAGTCCTGAAACTCTGGAACACTTTTTCTCTATTCCTCCGCCTTGCCCCTTCCTTCCCCATCTTCAGATCTCGCCTGAAGACCTTCCTCTTTGACAGTGCCTACAGTCACCTCCCCCACTGCTCGGCGATGGGGAGGTGATCATAGGCACTGTTGAAGAGGAAGATCTTAAAATCCTGTGTACCTCTATAAGGTCTCCTCTGAGATGTCTTTACAGGAATGTCAGTTGGTGCTAAAAGAAAGGAAATGTAGACGAGGATTTATTCACACAACATTTCTGGACGTGTCTTGAGCCAGAGACTGAGAGACTGAAGGGACCAACTCGCTTCCACCTTCTCTGGGGAACTGAAGGAAAATTGCTCGAGAAACAGCATCTCTGGAGATATTCTGCACCATAACATTCAGTGAAGAGATTAACAAAGGCTTGGAGGACCAGGTAAAGGAAAGACACAGGAGAAAGATAGGGCATGGGGAGAAGAAAGGTAAAGAGATTCTCAACTACAGTAAATCTATGTGTTAAGACAACATTTGATGTTTTGTCATTGGAGTGAGCTCAGGCTCATGTAAGTCAAATTGTCATTAAGCTTTCAGGAGATTGCACCAGACTGAAAAGTCACTTAAAAATAATTACATTGTGCATCGATTTGATGATACATCAAAACAGACGCTTCTTTTGGTTTAAATTAAATTCTCACAGCTCGTTAACAATAAAAGATATCTGCGTCAAAATTTCAATGAAGCAATGTACTGAAAGTTCAATTAGAAACGGTTTGATGCTACAGTAATTTAATACCATCAAAGTGGAGAATTAATTGGAAAATTGGCTAATCTGGATAATTGATTACCTGATTGGATAATCTGAATTCTTATTTATAAGGCAGTTGATAATCAGTTGCTGGGTGATGTATGTCGTACACACATGCATGCACACAATATATTCACCTCTTTTTTGCTTCAGGGCGAATGATCTTATAAAATTTCACATTGAAATTCTCACAATTCTATTGCATATGAGAACAGTTTGGATGTCAGTGTGTAGCACTTTCGCATCTGAGTCAGAAGGTTGTGGGGTTCAAGCATCCAAGAGAGGACTCTGAACTCACAGTCCAGACTCATTCCCTAGCACCGGGGAGTGCACTCCTCGCGTGAAGTAGGCTATATAAATGCCAGCTGTTGTTGAGAGCAACATTATCGGAGGAGCTGTCCGTTGGATGAGATTTTAGGCCAAGGTCCCGTCAGTCTGTTCAGTCAGATGTTAATGATCCCGTGTGGCTATTCGAAAAGAGAAAGGAGTTTCTCCCCCTGTCCTGGCTAACAATTCCTCAAATGAAATTGGTTGTGTGCTTCAAAGCTGTGTATGGGACATTGCTGTGTGCAAATTGGCTGCCGTGTTTGCTTACAGAATGCACGTTACAGTAAATCCTGTCAAGCACTTGGAAACATCCTCTAGATGTGAAGATCACTATATAAAATGCAAGGATTATTATTATTAATAATAATAATGTGGGATGAGATTTCATGCTACATTATTACTGTGAGATGAAACAGCTGTTGATGTTGTTGTTCCTGTTGTAGCTCAGGAGCCTAATTTTGGGTATGAGTATAGTTGGCCTCTGCTGTAATCTTCAATTCACCTTCAAATATAAGGTTAGTCAATCTCCTCCTTCGCCCCACACCCCACACACGCAAACTCATTTCACAACCACAGCTGTTAAAATGCTGTGTAAGAGAATGTGTTGATGTGATCGAGGTGTTTGCTGGGATATTTGGACCAGTGACAATTTTCCATTCCGTAAATAGAAACTGAAAAGTATACAACTTGGAGCTCAAAACAGCGCTGTCAACAAAGCATAAAAGATAGGAATCGTATCAATGTTTAACATAACCTGTTATTTCATAACAACACAAAATAAGGAATTTAATTTAACAATTAATTGAATTTAACAATCTTTCCAAACCATTCACTTCACAACTAAGTTAGCAAAAAATCCACAACAGACGATAAATCACACGTTCCCAAGCACTGTAGCACACAAAGAGATGCCTCTCTGTGTACAGCCTTTTCCTGCAGGTTCTTCAGACATTTTTTTCTCTCCTTGCTGGTTAAATAATACCATTAATACGTGAAGAAGATGCACTTGCTTTCTCTTCAGATTTGTAAACGCAATACATTAAACCAGGAAACTTTGTTAAAGTCCATGAGCAATTCTGCGGGTGTCTTAACTTGTTCCTACCCGAGTCTGTATCCGGGGAAAAACAATGACAACCGTCCAATAACTTTATTGAGGAAGGTTAAATTGTCAAATCTCATTAAACTGTGTTTAAAGTTTGTGAACAATTGTTTCCACAAGAGCTGAGAAATAGCCTCTTAATATTGCTGCCAAGGAAAAATTACATCTGAGATACAACAACAACTTGTGTTTATATAGCGTCCTTCATATGGGGTAGCGTCCCGGAGTGCTTCACTGTGGCGGAGTCTGACCCCAAGTCAGGGGGAGAGGGAGTGGGGAGGTGACTGTAAACACGATCAACAAGGAAGGTCTTTAGGTGGGATTTGAAAGTTGGGAGGGAGGGGGCAAGGCAGAGGGATTGAGGGAGAGAGTTCCAAAGCTTTGGATGTAGTGGATGAAGACACAGCCACCGATGGTATAGAGGAATGGACGAGAGACAAATGGGAGACAGGAGCAAGCTGAGTGGAAGCAGTGGGTGGTAGAGTGGGGGTGGGGGGCTGGTGGATAAGCAGATCACATAGGTAGGGAGGTGCGAGGGTGTGAAGGGATTTGAAAACCAATGAGAGGATCTTGAAATCAATCCGTTCAGTAAAGTGGGAGCCAGTGGAGCCTGGCAAGGGCTGGTGTGATAAGGGTACGGAGTTTTGTGCGGGTGAGCATCTGGGCGGCGGAGTTTTGAATTGATTGAATTCTGTGTGTGGTGGAGCTGGGGAGACCAGCGAGGAGGACATTGGAATAGTCCAGCTGGGAAGGGACGAAGGCGTGGATGAGGTTTTTGGCTGTGTTGGTTGTGAGGTATGGATGGAGACAAGCAGTGCGAGGGAGATAGAGAGAATGCGAAATCCGAAAAATAGTGACAATCTCGGATCTGTTACAAAGCCAAATTTATAAACTAGTTTGTTACAAAAGCTTCATTTTGTCTGGTATTCCTATTAAAGGTTAATCCTAGTCAGGTCTGCTACAATATATTCACCCACATAATACACACAGTCACATTGCCGTATATCCTGCTTTGAGACATCTCAATGATGTGATAAGGTGCTATGTCAAAGGTAAGGATTATTATTAGATATCAGTTCGACACCCACAATCCTTGTAATAATTCCATAATATGTTGAAAATGAAACAAGGCAAAATATTACTTCTGGTGTTGCAGACTTTCACCTGTTCAGGGTGAGGGTCAGTTTAATTGTGGTAGTCAATGTTTTCTACAGGTAGGAATAGGAAATAACATTATGGGATATAGTACATAGGTATTTTGGGACATATGTGCATGTGACCTCGAACTAGATGGTCCTTGGGGTCTGTTTTGCGTCTAGCATTTCTTATGTTTTTATGAATGTTTGGGTTACTGTTAAGCTGCTGTGAAGTGATTGGAGACATCCTCCTGAAGTAAAAGGCACTGTACAAAAATAAATTGATGTTATTGTTATTGGAAGCTGGCATTCAATCACAATCCCACTCTAAACAGTTTTTCTGAAAACTTTCTAAAAATAAATCCAAGTGCAATTCTTCAAAATCACGAGCGATCAGCTACAGAATTCCTCTTCAGCAATAGTGATTATCCATAACTGTCGCTGCAGAGTCTGAGGTGGGGGGAAGAGAGAAAGAGGGGTTAATGCTCCGTATGCACTTTATATAATATAAAAATGCACGATAAATTTTCATCATTTTTACAACACACGTTTGGGAGGGAACAAAGAAAAAGAGTGCACATTGTACTCTTGTGAAAAAAAAGGATGAAAATTATGGATGGCCCCATAATTCTTTTTTGCCTCACATCATTGTTAATGCTTTGTTTTATGTACCAGAACTAATTGATTTGATATGAACCTGCTTCCTCGCAATTCCCATTACTCCTCTTCTCCTCTCGCGTTCCCACTGAGCTCATGCTGCGGTTAATGCGGCAATTTCGTTGAACGACGGGTTCAACGCCTTGACGGTTACGGAATGATTCGGTTGTAATTCTAGCGTTGTATCTGGGACTCGTCCAAGGATAGGAGAGTGTGACAGGCTCTTTAGTAACTCGAATAATCCGGCAGATCACTTTTAAACAGTATTTTTTGACATTGCAGCCGACTAGAATTCTCAGCGATGATTCGATGCAAGTGTCCTAAAAGGTCCCCATCTGTTACTGCCATTGCAATGTAATTTAGAGACTGCACTGCAGTCTCTTGTACACTGCTGAAGTAATTGCAAATAGTCTTTCAAGAGAGCACAATGCACGTAATTGTACAAAGTTGCAGCAACAATTTGTATTTACATAGCGCCATTCAGACAGGGAAACATGCTTTAAACACACAGAGCGCTTTAAGCACACTGTAGAGAGGGTTTACAGCACAGTGCACATTAACCTGCAGAGTTACAGCAATTGCAAAGTTTTTACAGCAGAGCGAGTGCAAACCCGCGCTAATTATTGTGTTTTACTGCCTGACTTCTCCAGCTGAATAAATACATGCTGATAATATAGGTAGGCATTGCGATTTTTCTATCCAGTAATTGCTTCTTTGCATCAGAGAGCTATGCCAGGTCGTTTATAACAACAATTCATTGAAATTTAGTACACATTTCTTTTCAAGCTCTCGAAATCCTCACTTAAGTCCCTGGTTCCATCAATTGGTTCACTTCTCCGATATCCCATGTTCCAATTATAACAACAAGAATAATCCTTGCTCTTGATACAGTGCCACAAAACCTCTGAAAACGCATCACAAGTAATGACTATCAAAGTGTAGCGACTTTTGTGTTTGTAGGCAAATGCAGCAGCCAATTTTGCATACAGCAAGGGCCCACAAACAGCAATGAAGTGAGCGATCAAACATTATCTGGGACACTGCCCTGTGTGAGGGGTGCTATACAAATGCAAGTTGGAGGGTTGTTGGCCAGGAACCAGGATAATCTCCCTTCTCTTTTCAAATAGGGTTCTGGAAACTTTAACACCTGAACAGCAATTACCAGACCACATTCTGCCAGTATTTGTCCCTCGATTCAGTCCGACACATGAGCTTTATTTTAAGATGCAAATCTCACTGCAGTTACTCTCCCATATTCTAATTGAACCTCACACGCTGTTTGCTCAATGGCCTGGGGAACTTTGAACAGAACATGAACCGCTCACCCAACTGTGGGGAAATGCCATTACGAACCCAAGCTCTGCTACTCCACAACACTGCAGCATAGAGTTGGTTCTGTCATGGGATCTAGCTCAAGCGCTCTGGGACGCTACACTTTGTGTGGGATGCTATATAAATGCAAGTTGTTGTTGCTCAAATTGCACCTGACATACATAACAAAATAAATCTCACAATTAGATGCAGGTCAGAGACCAGGTCCTCTGCCCATTTTATCTATTCAGCTTTTAATTTAGCAGATGAGCCACAAACAAAAGAAACAAAGCAATATAAATAAAATAATAATAATAATCCTTGCATTTGATATAGCGCTTTTCACGTCTTCTCAATGTCTCAAAGCGCTTCACAGAATATACTGTAAAGTGAATTGACTGTATATTTGTGGGCGAAACGTGGCAGCCAATTTGCGCACAGCAATGTCCCACAAACAGTCGTGGAATGAAAATGACCAATTTATTATTGTTTTTGTTTTGGAGGGATTATTATTAGGCTTTGTGTGGAGAAAGGAAACTTGCCCAAGGTTTCGCCCTCTGCCTGAAATTGAACCCAGGTCTCTCACTTGCAAAGCGAGTGCTCTAACTACTGAGCTACAGAACTCCACACATATATATATATATCCATATATAACTTGGAGCAACTCAACTAAATGATAAGTTCAAACCTAAAAGATAAATGGAGAGAGTGAGAGAGAGATGGAGAGAGAGAGAGCGAGGGAGTCTCCTCAGTAATCTCGGGCCTGTGATGATGAGCCACATGCAGACTGGGCGGTGACACGTTTGTCTGATAAACACAAGGAAAAAAATGGGTTTTGAGCCCCAAGTCCCCTGGTTTCCCCGCAGAAAACTCAACGCATCCGTCCGGAGGCTCCAGAGATTCCCAGGAGCGGCTGAGGGCATCCTGCCCGGCTTGTGGGAATGCGGGATAATGTTGACCCCGGTCAGCTTCTCCACGGTGTCCGGCAGCCGGTTCATGATCTCCAGGACCTCGCTGATCAATTTGGCCGCACCCACCTCCCCCCCACTGCTGATCGTGGTCACCTTCTTCACCTGGGTGAAGGGCTTACTGATCTCCACCACCACCAACGGCAGCTTCTCGAGCAGCATGTCCACCAGTGCAGCATCCTTGTACTCCCAGAAGGCTTCGGTTTTCTTGGTCATCTACTCGGCCTCCCCCAGGGCCTTGGCCTTGATGGCAAAGGCTTCATCTTCACCCTTCACCTTAATAGTCTCTGCCTCAGCCTCAGCCTCCATGATCAACTTCAGCCTCTCAGCCTCAGCGAGCTTCTCTAGAAGGTAGCGTTCGGCTTCAGCTGGTTTTTTGACCCAAGCCTCGAGCTCCTTCTCCCTGCGAATGATCTTCTGCTCTGGAGCTGGATCTTCTGAGTCCTCTCCACCACCTGCACCTGCATCTTCTCCTCCTCAATACGCTGCTTAGTCCAGGTTGGCCTCAGCTTTCGTGGTGTTGACCTCCATGTCGTACACGGCTTTCTTCAGCTCATAATCCCTCTGAGCCTTGGCCACCTTGATCTTGTTCACATACTGCACTGATGCCTTCTGCTGAGTGGCCTTGGCTTCCTTGATGCCAGTGTCTCACTTGGCCTCGGCCTCTCCAATCCGAGCGTCTTCCTGGACCTGGGCTGTGCGAGCTTTTCCCAGAGAGTGGCGGTATCCCTGGTCATCGTGAATTTCCTTCAGAGTGTAGCTGACGACCCCAAATCCCATGTTCACCAGATCCGATGAGGCCACTTTAAACACCTGCTCCGAGAACTTCTTCCTGTCCTCATAGATTTCTTCCACGGTCATGTGAGCCATGATGGCTCTCTGATGACCCTCCAGTGTCTCCAGGGTGATTTGTGCAATTTCCCTCTCTGTCTTCCCCAGAAACATTTGACAGGCGGCCGCCAACATCTCCTTATTCTGGCCCTGATTCTTCACCTGTGCGATCCCTGTGACTGAAATGGGGACCCCATGTCGTGTATAGATCTTCTCGCTCTTCACGTTGAGGGTGAGGGTAGAGAGAGAGATCCTCTCAATCTGCTGGATACAGGGCAACACAAAGACCTGGCCTCCAGCTATCATCACCGGGGAAGAGCAACAGAAACCCGATACTACCATAGCCTCATTAGGGCCACACATGTAGTCACAATGGTCCTCACCCTCTTCTCTCCTGCTCTTTGTTTCAGATCTCTCCAATTCCACACTCACTCTCTTCTCTCTTTTTCTCTGACTTACACACTCACTCACTCTCTTCTCTCTTTTTCTCTGACTTACACACTCACTCTCTCTCTCTCTCTCTCTTTTTCACACTCACTTTCTCTCTCTTTCTGTGTTTTGCAACAGACACACCCCAAAAAAACATACAGCAGGAAATGGCAACTGCAGCCAACACAGAAGTCAAAAGAGATCGCAAACTTAGTTCAAATTCTTCCTCCAGAAACCTACCTTCTGTTTCAGCAAAGGTTTGAGAGGACATTTTGATCTTTTGGTCACCAGAGGGCGCTCAATAACTATTGAACTGCAAATAATATGCCGCATGAACTGAAAACATCAAGCTATAGTTATATATCAGTGAGTTTGGTTCAATCTGAATCACTTTGCATCATCATCATCCCAGCTTGAAACAGTTTAACGTCTGATTTCCCCCTTGATTGCTAAGACAGAGCCAAAACGTCCATGTTTCCTACGCCTCTTCCCTTCTCCCTGTACTTTCAAATCCTGCCTCAAGATTCTCTTCGACTGTGTACCTTCGGGTCAAAATGTCAAATAATTATAGAACATAGCGAACGCATTTGATACAGCGCCTTATCGCGAATTCTCAAAGCACTTCATAGGCTTTACTGTAAAGTCTAGCAACTGTGTGTTTTGAAGGTGAATGCAGCAGCTAATTTGTGAATAGCAACGTCACACAGATAGCCATGAAGTGAAGTGAATGATCAATTTTATCTGAGTATGGTTGGCCAGTCAGTTCTTCTGACAGGGATATTTGTGGGTAGTGTTCAAGAGAGCAGGGGGAAACAGTTGAAAGCTCCCTCACTTTTTCAGGGTGAAAAGTGAACCAACAAAGCATGAAGTTCGTAAAGTAAAGCTTCACTTACCCACCAGTCCACCTGTGCTTATTTCTTAAATCGCAAGCCTTTCAATAACCTCAGTGGCTATAACTCTTGAGGACTTGACCACCTTGCAATCCTGAACTTAACACTGGACTCCCGAGTTTCTGAAAGAGCTTTAAATGAATTATGTAGCAGATTGTAGCAGATTGCTCCCTGGCCATCCCACTCAGAAACTACCATAGGAAACAATGTGCATTGATTTATTGCTACAAATAGAAACCTCGGTCTGCTGGATTAGGGATGGAGGTCTGGTTAATGTCCAACATTTCGCTGCCAATGTCTGAAATAGCCCTGTGACACACACAGAAAGTGAAGGCACCAATAGTCACGGGTACAGATTAACCCGGCTTCAATGGTTGTTGAGGTCACTCTGAGAGGTGAGACTGTAGCTTGTGAATCAGGCTGATCATGGCATTTACCTGGTACCTCTGGCAAGTCGGGATACTCACACTGAGTGCGATGTTCTCTCACCTACAGTTGACCTGCATTGTCTGAGCCATGGTCTCCCTGTCGGTCGGCCCACAGTGTCCGGTGAGCAGCAAGTCCGTGTGTGTTCACAGGGCTCTTTATACAGTGTGGACAAAAAGTCGTGATACCATTGCAGTGTCTAATAAGTCTTAAAGAAATTTTTTTTAGATAATAGGGTAGCTGAAAAATAAGACTTTTGGTCACCCTGTTTAACAGCAGTGTGCAACAATGGTAAATCTTTTCCTCACAATTGTAGAATAAGCTGATTTTGAGAGTCACATGTAGCCGCAGGTATTTGCCCAGGAACGATCCAAAGCAAAGGGGAATAAATCTCAAGCCAGTAGCTAGTTCTTGTGTTCCCTCTACTCACAGGTCTGTTCACCAGAATGCAGACTTCGAAGCGATGGCTGAGTTTGAACACCAGCTGAACACTGACTTGTCGCAAACCGATGTAATGTGTACAATACTGGGAACGTGTACAATACTGAGTAGCTAATATTGAATTATTACCCCCGGGAAAGCGATCCGACGATCGACTAACAACCGGGTTCCTACTTACTGCTGAGTAAACAGAGGCGTGTGGAGTAAGGAAACTTACTCCATGCCCTGCCGGGAATTGAAACCAGGTCTTCTCGCTTGCAAGGCAAATGCTCTCAAAAATAAAGATCACTTTGCAGATTGAATCCATAATAATAATAATCCTTGCATTTGATATAGCGCTTTTCACGTCGGGAGGACGTCCCAAAGCGCTTCACAGAATAGACTGTAAAGTGAATTGACTGTATATTTGTGGGCGAACGCGGCAGCCAATTGCGCACAGCAATGTCCCACAAACAGTCGTAGATTGAAAATGACCAATTTATTATTGTTTTTGTTTTTTGGAGGGATTATTATTAGGCGTGTGGAGTAAGGAAACTTGCCCAAGGTTTCGACCTCTGCCTGGAATTGAACTCAGGTCTCTCACTTGCAAAGCGAGTGCTCTAACCACTGAGCTACAGGACTCCACGCTATCCATGCTAAAATTACCCCTTTTTATATCCCCAAACAACTTTAATAGACATCAGTGTTTTACATACAAGTAAAGGACTTTCTAATTGCCCAGAATCAATACTCTATTTAATGTCTTGGCCACGTTTTTGCAAAACGAAGGAATATTTTAGCCGCGTTTATACTGAATGTCTCAAGTTAAATGGAAAGAGAGTTCAAATCGTTACAGCTGGGTTCAAGCTTGTATTACTTAGTAGGCTGCATGTAACAACAACAGCAAATTACATTTGTAAAGCGCCTTTCACATCGGGAGGACGACCCAAGGCGTTGGACAGTCAGAGATTTGGACCCAAGCTGGGGGTTGGTAACAAGCTGGGGTGGAGGGCTGGGAGGGTATGGATAGGAGGGTGGCCGAATGCGCAGTCAAAGAGAAGGGTTTTGAGACGCGCTTTGAAGGAGGCAAAGGGGGTGGGAGTGATTCAAAGGGACTGTGGGATGGAGTTCCAAAAGGGTGGGGGCAGAGAAACTGAAGGCTCAAAAAAAAAGTCTGGCCAACTGATGGAAATCCTTGATGCAGTAGAATAAAATGAGTTCAATGCCGAATGACGCCCAAAATAACACACAAGAAAATTAACTTTTTTTTTTGATGCCCTTTATTTAAACGTGTTGGTAGCTAAATGTTATTAACCGATCCTATACAATAAGAATGTAAAATTTTTGGCAAAAGTAAAAATTTTGAAACAAAAAAAACTAACCACATGTACTATTCCATCACGTGTACTTACAAATATATTTACAAAAGTAACAATCAGAAGCTTCAGGTTCATTAATATGTTGTCACAATGTGGTGCTTAGAATTTCTGTAACAGGAGAACCTCGGAGAATTGTCTCTAAACCTGGAATCGATATAGAGGTGCTAAAGCTATAAGGAAGCCTGTCAAACATTACTTCTTATACCGTGACTGAAGCTGTCTCTTTTGCTGTGCTTTTTACCCTCAGTGATTTGTTTTATGGGTAGTGGGGGATGGAATCTATTGTAGAGTTAATTCCAGACAGAAACTACAACAGACACAGAGAAACTCCAAACAATAAATACATACACTGTAATCAGTGTACAAGGATTTTCATTCAGACTGTGTTTCTAGCTTCTGAAGTCATGGAGGGAAATAAATGGAGATATGGGAACCACAACTTCATAATCCAACAGCACCAATGCTGTGCATTTGGTTTTGTATGCAGAGTCATGAGTTGAACAGTTTCCCAACTGAATTAGTCCACGCGGCGAGTGCTCTATTTACCCCACAAAAAATATTTTGGAAATTTCCCCAACGTTTTTGGAAAAGTCTGAGCCAATTTATTTCAATGTCTGAAATCTTGTTATGCAATCGCTCTCTCTCCATAAAGGCAAATCAATGACGCAGCAGTGATGGGGGATGGAGTCTGGTGGGTGTCACTCAACCTAATTACGTTACTACATATCAATTTATCCAGTGTGTAGTTCCAGTCAGTGGAATATTAGGCCAGGTTCCCACGTGGCCAATGTCACGACACAAAGACTAGCTCGCAAAAGAGAAATGATTTGAAGAAAAGATTGGTTCAACAGCCATGAATCTGACCAGTACAACAGTGAGTGAACATGGTCAGGTTCCCCTGTGGCCTAGAAGTAATATCTCACAGCTGATAATCATGCATATTTATACTGAGATCGGGATCATAGCAGAACTGTAAATATGATCAGTGATTGACATTTCAGTGGACCACACACAAAATTATGCTGCAAAGGACAGCAACTCAATATCACATTACAGTACCAATTAGCTCTTTAAGAGGCAGTATTTTAAGTCACCTTGGCAAGGAGCACAGAATCTCTATTCTATTAGCAGCTACGGCAGCAGTCTCCCATCTAGCAAGTGCATCTTTTGTTGCCAATCGCACCCTCGCAAGTGCATGGCTGTTGTGCTTAGCTTTTGTTATTATACTTCCCTCCCCCCACGCCCCCCCCTCAACTCACCCACCCACCCACCTCCCCCAACTTGATGCCTTGAAAAGGTTCAAAAAGAATTATTGCTTTTCAACTTAACATTAGAATCTACTGTATTGCATACGTTGTCTCCTGTCCCAGGATTTTGGCAGAACTAGGCTTAGCAGTCATTTCCCTTCAGATTAAACTTAAAAGCAGTCTTTTGAGGTTAGTTACACAGAAGGGTGGCACCATGTCAATAAAACTTTGAATCACATCATTGAAGAAACTGGAAGCTCACATTCTGAATTCAGGCAGCAAGTGAACTCACAAGTACTCGTACACAGGCCAACCGATCCTGTATTACACCCTTCAGTCAGTGCATAATCAAAAGACCTATCAATAGATTTTAAGGCACTTCATTCTGAATTCATTATGTTCCGCTGCCACTTACAGTACGTCATAAATTATCTATTAAAAAATTCTCTCTCTTCATCACACTTTTCACACAACTTAATGGTATGAGTGTAAAATAATTACCTAGGCACAGTTCAATGCAAATACATCTACTGAAATTGCATAGATCTACATCATCAAAGTAGATGATGTAGCATCATATCTCTACTCTCACAACACCTGTTGGGAGTTAAATAGAGTCAACATTGTTGCAATCGTTTGATTGATTTGCCTGGACAAAAACGCTGGACATTTATTATCTGATTTGTTGAAGCGGTGGTGAGGAGGGGTATGTTACCATATAAAATCCCACACAAATTTTCCACCAAACATTTGCACCATTAATACTGTATTGTGCACTATTAATGCGGGTCATGAGTGGGATGTAAAGGAATCACAGTAGGAGGTACAATTTATTTCACCTATGTGCAAGATCTCCTAGGCCCTCTCGTGCCTTGATTCACCCGTTTAGTTACAAGGTCTTTGTGGCTCCTGCAGAAAAATGTGCATCGCATTCCCTCTGCTTCCCTCGCAACAAACAAATCAGCTAATATTCGCCCCTGAACTGACGTTATCATCAACAGACACAATCACGAAGATTATCTGAATAACCTTATTAAGAGCATTGTACATTATCAAGTAACAATTTCATAAGCAGAAAGCAGTTTTTCACTTTTAACATTGGCTGCAGTGTTGGGACTCCCAACACCTATGTACAACTACCACCAGAAAGGGTATCATTGGATAAGGAGAAGGATAGCGGTCCTACTACGACTGCACGTTTTTCTGTTAATAGTTACACTCTTACCTTTTAAAAAATAAAATAAATAGCACATCATGTTAACTACTTTAAGCATCACCTTAGATACACCGAACTACAATCATGTTGCTTTTCGAACAAGTAATGCTCTCTTATTTGCAAAGTTAATTTAAAAACGTCTAAATAGGATTGTGTTTAGATATACAAAATATGCAGACATTTCACTAAAAATATCTCGCTCTGACTTCCTTAAGCGCCTGTGGCCATTGCAACAAGCCTTCCGCTAAAAAATAAAGTACTGAAGAAATATTTATCGTCCATACTGAATACCCTATTTGCAGAGTGCCATATGCACATTCGTATTATATAATCAAAAATAAAATAAAAATCTTCAACTAGCATGAAAAAAATCATGGTCATGCAAAATCAAAACAGACTGTGAAACTGAATTAAAGTATCATTTCAGTAAAAGTTTGAAACTGAGAATAGAAAAGATACAAATTAAAAGATACACTGATTTATTTTCCTTCATTTACCTTTAAGGCTTTTAAATGCGCATCTAGAGTGATATCAATGATCTACATTCCCCCCAAAGCTCTGTTCAGTCTTCTATGATTCCTGTTAGGTTTCAGTGTAACATACCTCCCTGTCTCTCTTCACTCCCACTGTTACCAGCTCTTTATCAAACTGATTAAGCGAACCTTAGCAATACAACTCTGGAGAATTGTGTGTGTTTTTTTTTAAAACTGAATCAGAAAAATAAAGAGAACTCTAAGGACGAGTTAAGTACCAGATGGAGATTAGTAAAAAAAAATGTTCTTGCTAACAGCCGTTTTCGCTGTCTTCCATGCTCATGCTACTTCTCCGACTGCTCGTCTTGGAAGCTCCAGGCGACACAGATGATAGCAGGGGATCGGGGGAAAGAGTATCGTCCATCAGGATATCTTCGAGTTTGGATCCCATTTTCGTGGGGGCATTGTAGATGGTGTTCGGATCCATGGCATGTCCAAGGTTATCATTGAAGCTCAGAGTTCCATCGGTTAGATCCAAGGTGGTGGTGTGGGACAGATCGCAGTGCGGCTGTAAGCAATCTCTGGTGCGCTCATCCATCCCTGGTTCTTGTTTAATGGATCGGCCACTGAGATCTGGTGAGCAGAGGCCAGAGGAGCTGACCAACTGAAGTCCATGAGCACGGGCTTGCATTTCAAGTTCCTGGTAGAGAAATAACACGGTAATGGATGTTTTTTTCTAAATTTACATGAAAAAAATTGGTGCTATGGTCTAAGACAAGGTGGAATTTCAGACCCCTGGATTGATTTCTGGAGAACGAGGAGATAAAAAGAAATGGGGGAAGATATGACAAGAATCAGACCAGTCAATCAATGTCCAGAGCCCTCCCTCCTTCCCTGATGAGTGACAGCCACAATAGTCAATCACCACCTGCATCGCATCCTCCTGTTTAAACCCCGACAAAGTTTATAAATTCAAGGTGGTTTTATGTTGAATTGGCACCCCCGTTTTAACTGAAAATCCCCAGCTGTTTTGGGGAGCCAGCCAGCCCCTTGTTGAGCTCCACCGAAATGTGTGGGATTGTTGGGTCAAATGGCACTTTTCTATTCTTAAAACTTCCTACATCACTAATGTGGTAAGGCTCGAGGCTGACATGCATGTTCGCTGTCATTCAGGCACATCCTGTGGATTTGTGAACAGTTGGTCATTATGCAGAAGCAGATTCGATTCGAATCAATTTGAATTTGCGCACAGCTCTTCGGCGATAAAATCCATTATCAACACAGTGCGAGCCATTTCCTTTTCAAGGTTCAATTGATAATTTAACGATTTCAAACAAAATATTGTGTGTGCAAGGGTGGTAGGACTTTAGGCTCTGTCCTGCATTGAACATATTGAAACTTGCTCTCATTTCCAGGGTGCTGGTATTGTGGTGTGCTGTGTGATGGGGGTCCTTAATTTGTGGTTATATATGAGATTTACATCTAATGCATATCCAATCTGGACTGTGCCTCCAAATCATCTAATGGTCAATGCAACAGCAATCTAGATACCTGCGAATGGGGAATGAATGAAAAACTGGTGTGAGGACCTTTTGCCATCTAACTAACCTGTATCCTCAGTAATAAATGCCTGTTGGCGTGCTCCAGTTTCTTCTGTCGTGACTCCAGCTCTTTCGCACGATGTTGTTCTTTTTGAAGCCTTCGGATATAATCCACTGATGCTTTCAGAATAGTGCCCTTGTTCCAACGCATATCCCTGTTAAAGACATCAAACGATATCACGCAGAATTCATGTGCCATTAAGAGCATGACGCACACATGCCATTATGAAGTGCTAGGTTTTAGCAATGGTAAAGAACGCTCTATTTGTGAGCAGCTCCTCAAGAAACTTGTCGTCAAAGTGATCCTGACATAAAATGACAAGTGCATCTCTAGCCTTTGATTCCAATAGACAGTGAAATCACCACCAGTTTTATCACCGACAAGATGAAAGGCTAAATTGTAGCAGCATACTGTTCATGGCTATCATTTCCCATATGAATATATTTATTTGTTTTTAGAAAAAAGGAAATAACTGACCAACTTGGAGGGTGTTGATAAGGATGAATTTCTGAAACATCAACTAGAAAAGATCCGGTGCCCAGCCGGCACTGTCGGGCGCTTTGAGATGTCCTCCTGACGTGAAAGGCACTAGATAAGTGTAAATTGTATTGTACTGTAACATTGTCCCCCAATTACTGCTTCAGATGCCAACCGATGTGATTATTTTTTCCCTTAAACGCTTATTATTACTATTAGATACAAAGGCAGCAGAACAAGAAGACACAGATTCAGGGCTATAAAAAGTACATGTTTGGGACAGACACCGGGAAGCTTTTCTTTACATGGAGAATTTCAACAGCTGAAACGGGTTAGCAGGAAGGTTCGTTGGGACCGCAACATTGGACTCATTCGAGGAACATCTTGATACTATAATAGAGAGACAGTGGAGTTGATATTCCAGAAGGGCGCGCTCAAATGGGCAGAAAGGATTTCTTCATCTGAACCTCTCTTCTAATCGCTGAGACTCCAATAGCTCCAGAGAACTCCATATTCCTGGGCTGATCATTTCAGCTGACAAACAACCATGACACGGACACAAATCTAAAAGGTTGCACTGCTCCCGAGGGAGACAGTGGAAGCAGAAAATGTAATTTGTTTCAAGAACAAATTAGATAGATTTCTGCTAGAAAATAATATCTTGGGATACAGTGTATAATTTGGGACACAACATATCAAGCGACTGCAAGGATGGTGGAAGGCGAACTAGATGGACCTTGGTCTTCTTTCGCCTACCAAATTCTTATGTTGTTATGTTCTCAGATGCCAGAAGTAACTAACTCTGAACCTAATTTCCCATTAGATCAGAAATACTGGGGAAAAAAATCCTGGTGAAATTCAAATTAGACATCAATCAGCCTGTCCCAAGTTGAAGGTAACCACTGTATAAGTGAAAAGGCATCAACATTTGTAGCTGTACGAGATTGGCAATTAACATATGCTGTACTTACGGATCATTAGACTTTGGAATTAATGTGCCCAGCTCCTTTATACGATCATTAATGTTGAATCTCCTCCTCCGTTCAACTTTTGAGATTTAAAAAGAAAGTCGTTCAGGCTAGGGAATGTGAATTAGTTGTTAAAATACTAAGGTGCACTTGTGCCTTGCTGGCTGTGGAGCACCAATGTAATGCAAATAGTATTAGTGGATTATTCAACTCTCCCAAATCGCCGAGTTCCTGAGCTTAGCCATTCTGGCCCTCCTCACCACCACCCCTTGGTCTCCCATACTCCCCTCTCCCCTCCACCACCACTCCGGCTCAGGCTCCCAATCAGTTGTGCGAAGGACCTTATGAGGTCCTCCCAACGTGAAGGGTGCTATACAAATGTAAGTTGCTATTGTAAATAATGGGTTTCTGAGTTTGTCAGACACTTGTCTGACCATGAAGCATATTTCCACACATGCCTCCACATTACTAGCAGAAGTAAAATAATTTAACGTACTTAAATTATGATTGTCCTTTTTCTGTCTCTCCTTAGCGAGCGCTCTGGCCTCAGCTTCTGAAAGAAACCATGAACTGCATTAAGGGTGAAACAGAGATTGTGTGCGACAGGTCATTATCTGCTCCGAATGGTTGTAATCCCAGATTCTCGCTGGCAAAAGTGAAAGGAAATAATTCTGACAAAATGCCTGCACCGCTGATTAGATTGAAACATTACACGTAATTCTTCCCAATCGCGCACAAAGCAAAAAAGACCTGCAAAATGATCTGCTAACTGGAATCAAAAAACTTGCCTGGTAATAGTGCATTGTGCATTTTCATTGAGGGACTTTTAAAATGGAGCTCCATGCCTGCAACCATTGACTCTGTGAATTATATAGAAAAGAAGTTGTACTACAAATACAATTTGCTATTTGAACAACAAAGGATTATCATCTACAACCAAATGAAGCAGTGAGTTGGGGGCACTACAGCAAGATTGCTAGAAAATCCTGCTAGTCAATTTGCCAATGTGATTTACTGTTATTGCATTGTAAACATTAAAATGCCCATTGTATAAGTAAACAGTATTGCTGGGCCAATGTCCATAACCTTGAAGGCTTCCAAGTGTAGGGTGACTTTGACTACTGTAATGACTAGTCATTCTGAAAGCACTTCTAAAGGAAATCGTTGCCATAGAGAAGCAGTTTATGAAATATTACTGGTCATTCAGCCTGATGTACCTCGCAGGACTACCACTTATTTCCCAAATGAAATCAAGCTTAAAAAACCTTTTTTTTCTTGGACGTGACATTTTGAAACAAAACGCATTTCCTTGTGCTTTTCCTTGTGCATTTCCTTCTTATTTTGCATGGCCCTTATTATCAGACCCACCGCATATGGTCGATTCCCTTCAACTTCATGCCACATACGTGACTAGATTTGGCTAAGTGACTGACTCCAACCTAATCAATGTACATAGCATGACTTTACAAAACAGAAACACTATTTTTGGCATAAGATTTTGAGAAGAGATGACCTTTTATTTTGCTAGCTATTGTTCACCTCTGGGGCAATGCCGGACAGTTTGACAAAGGTGATATTATTAACGATAGCTGTGCATGTTTTGCTGTAGCTGATCACGTTTTCTATTGCCGTTCTTGTCTGCCAACAAATGTAGTTCGACAACAATTCCCTGTGAAGTAGGATGAGATGTTTTGACATTACAGACCCTATATCAAATGGGAGGATTATTGGTAGTACTGTTCACTTTACCATCTTTGCCTCCAGACTCTCATATAGTCTGACCCTGTTATGACACAAGCTCGTTAACAGCGAGTGGAGGTTGTGGACTTGAAGTGTTGTATAGTACATTTCCCACGCGGAGTGGCTGGTCTCCTTCGCAAGCGATCAGCAAACCTGTCCGGTCGGCACCAGAAACCGTGTCAATGGTGACCTGATGCCTGAAAGCGGAACCTGTGTCTGCTATTATTTTGCTGACACGTTATAAACGGCATCTAATTTATGGGCCCTATGATGGCCTTACTACGTTAAAACAAGTAAAGTAAAGCTTCCAATATGGCTTCCAATAACAAAGTAGAGGTTTTGCTAAACTTCCCAGATCAATCTGTTTCATCGGGGAAAAGCTCTCATTAGTCAAGTGAACTTTATGACTCATTAAGAAAAGAGGGTTTGAACAGAAACACTCAATTTATCTCACTTTAGCAACACTGGATCCCTCAACTCCTGCGTTCACCTTCACCTTTCCATTTGTTCCACTTTAAACGTTGGAACTTTCAATGCAGCAGACATTAATTGTTATAAATAAGGTGGATGAAGGCTGCCTGAAGGCAAAAGTGAGTTTGTTTCCAGAAATCAGGAGACCGATGTCTCAACCGTTTGGTTCAATCTCCTAGTTTTGGCAACAAACAGGAAATATATAACTGGGTCAGTGGGGACAACCTTCACCTGCCTGTAAACATCATCTAAATTCAGAGATCAGATTACAAACTTCAATTCAATCCATTCAAGTTTTATTTTAATTAACAAGAATGCCTGCACGGAATTTTGCATCTCATAGTTTTAGGATTTTTTCTTCTTGCAAGTTCTAAAGCTTTCTCTGTATCAGGAGTATGTTCACCCAATATCAATAGGGTGAATCAGAAGTCATTACTCATAGAGTTTTTAATTATTAATTATGTTCTTTTTGAAGACGACATTCATAAGAGAGTGTGCAGCTATTACAGGAGATGTCTTTCATTGTGCTCATGAAATTTTTGTCATCGAGTTGATATGTATAAACATCCACATGGTCGGCAGTTTGAACATCGCATATAGAATTAGGAGTAAGGACTTTTAATTCACCCTGTGTAAAGAGAAACGAGGCAAAGGAGGTTGCAAGGAATTCCATACGCATTACAGCTGAGATTTTACTTCCTGCAATTTCCTATTTGTTTATCAAATGTACAAATGTACATGTGCAAATAGTTTCACAGTTGCCATCTGAGACTCGTAGCTTATTGGCAAAAATAGGCATGTTTCCACATTTTGTGCATGAACTAAAAGGGAAAAGCAAACACAGGAAAAGTTGCTAATTGGTGATATTTAATATTCATCGTGTTCTTGTTATTCTGGTAACATCTGTTCACCGGCCCATGTTCACCTGGCTTCGCCATGTGACTCAACCAAACAGAATGGAACTACTGAGTGTCTTCTCGATGCATTTCATCAGTGTCTCATACTGCAACAACTTTACAGCTGTCTGGTGTCATTAAAATTGACTGTACACATCTTAAAAAGAGCAGAAATGCACACTTAAGTGTCTACTGCTGCTATTTAAAGCAATTGTTAAATATCTAGCCATAAGCTATTATAACACTGTTCTAAAGAGATTAATTGCACTCTCTCTTGGGTGCATTGCAAAGACAGCATGCAACTACAAAAACATCTAACACTATAATCAGACCAGCAAAGGAAGGCAGTGCAAGGGAATAGCTGCCATACGCTAAGTTGAATAACTGTTGGGATTTATAGAAGCTTGCTTTGCATCCTCTCCTCCCTTCCAGTGCAAACTCATCTCACTAGTTTTATCACGTCAAAGTTTAATCAATTGTACTGAGTATGGATTAATCACTGAAATGCTTTGGAGGGGAGTATTAGTGTATTGAGCACTTTATTGTGAAGGCCAGGTACTTGATTTGAAGGGGACACTGTCTTGATTAAAAGAAGAGGAAGCCAATGACATTACCGGGTGATCGCGGTTAGAATGCATCACAGCTAAGCACCTGTTCACTTATAGTGGTGATCTACTGTGTAGGCTTGTGACTTCTGGCACTGACTAGCCACCTTCCCACGCTAAAAATTAGTTGGGCTGCTTAATTCAATTAATGTGTTGCATGTGAGTTGGTTGTGTTGCATTCGAAGAATATTTTCCTACCGATAAGTTTCTTTCTTCAAAGCAAAAGAACGTTGTTCTAAAGAAATCGAGGTAAACAGATCGCAGTGAGATTTGTGTCAGGGAAAGGGTTGAAACCGCCCTCCCACCTTGATATTTTATAGTTTTTCTTCCTCGCCTGCATCTGTTTAAGTTTCCTGATGTACTTTTGGCTTATTGCTACAATGTCCTGAAATCTCTCGCTCCTCTGTTTAATCCTCTTCCCCATCTCATCTCTTCCCCTCCAAAATAACCCGAATGAAACTGAATTGCAGACAAGAATAAAACTGCAGTGTACCTGCGAGTTCCCTTTTAATGTTAGGCAGGTTAGCCGGGCAGGAGTTGCTGATAGCAATGGAAGGGGCAACCATCCCTGGATTGTTGTAGACATCTAATACGTTACCGGGCACAGGCAACTGAAATATAACAGAGGAACAAGCAAACACAAAACCAGTTAAATCTTAAGAAAAAAAACAATAAATTAGCAGAGCCCATTATATCACCCACAAAACGCAAATCATATCACTTTACAGTATATCCTGTGAAGGCCTTCGGGACGTCCTTCTGACATGAAAGATACTGTACCAAAGGTAAGGTTATTATTACTATATGATTAGATAAGAAGGAACTGACTGTATATTTTGTAGGCGAAATGCCAATTGCGCACAGCAGTGTCCCACAAACAGTTGTGGACTGAGTGACCAAATTATTATTATTATTTTTTTGAAGGGATTATTACCCCCGGAAAAGCAATCCGCCAATCATCCCATCCCCTAACAACTGGGTTCCTACTTACTGTTAGGTGAACAGAGGCGTGTGGAGTAAGGAAACTTGCCCAACATTTTGCCCTGCCCAGGAATCGAACCCAGGTCCTCTCGCTTGCAAAGCGAGCGCTCTAACCATTGGGCTACAGGACTCCACAGATTGATGGGACTGGTTGCTTAAGCTGGATTTTCTTCTAAGTAATCTTTACATCATTTCCACAGCGAAATCCGATTCTATGACGAATGCCCATTGTGGGTTTGAAAGTACATTTTCAAAACAAATAATCAGATTGCTGCTTTGCAAGGCCTGATTTGTGAGATTTGCAAAAGCAATTGTGAAACACTAATCGTGCAACCTGAACAAGCAGGGTTCAGAGGGCAAAAAGTTACAACTACTGTCCTCTGAGCTAAGACAACCAGTATATTAATCCTCAGGTTTGACTAGATACCTGTTGGATGTACCATCAGGAAATGAGTGATTGTGGCAGATTATTGGCAATGGTGCTAATGCTTACCCTTGAGCTACATAAGTGACTCTGTGTAGAAAGAGATGGGTGTCAATTTACTCATTAATAAACCAACCATGCAACATTGGATAATTCTACCCAAGATTAGTGGGGTATGAGGAGGCCCTTCTATGAGACGCAAAGTGATTTATTTGATGAAACCAGATCCCAACACGATTTATTGCCCCGGGTGAGCTTTGTAAATTCTACATCTTATTTTTTTTGCAAACTAATTTTGAGGTTCATTGGCTGCATTGATACAAGGTCGGTGAAATATTAAACGCTAGGATATTCAACGCAGCAATTTTGTTACTCATTTGTCAAATTACAAGGAAAGTAATGTCCTTTTATACCTCTAGGAATTATGTTTTTTTAGAAAACATTTGAGACGACTTTAAATATTGCCTGGATACAAACCCGATTCATACTGCAGCTAATCCATAAAACACCTCCCGAGGTGCTTTCGAAAGGCAGAGCATGGACTAATGCCTCTGCTACACTTTAACTTTGATTCAATACAGAAACAGTGTTGATTGGCATTAACTTTGCAGTCTATACAGGGCGCAAGATTAAAAATAAACATTTCTACTTGAACCGCAGTGTGTTAAGCTTTACACCTCATTAACCACTTAATGTCTCAAACGAATAGAACTGTTGTTTGTACATTTTAATTTAGCATGTCAGCAATATAACAGCTCTTTGCACAGTTTACATTTTCTTGTCAGACCCGAGACATCTTTCACAATCCAGTATTCTTCAGCCATCAACCACGATCAATTGTTCACACATCAATGCTACTTGACCTTACGCAGACGGCAGCTACAGAAATTATTTTGACGTTTTACAGTGACGTTTACGGTCACCATTGATTAAATAAGTAAAGGGCCATATGGAATAAAAGCAGAAGCAGATGCTGAATATCACTTTTAAAGCCATCAGCATTGACCCTTGTTTGAACAAAAATATCGTCAGGTCAGTGTATTAGTAACCAGCTGATATCCCCATCGCTGCTTATGTCAAATCCATGGAATTGTGCAATTGTTTGAAACGTAAAACTAAAAGCAGGAGCTTGAGGGAAGTGGACAGGTTCTGTGCAGCTAATCTCCTTGTCAGTCATACTCTTGACAGTGGGTTCTGGTTTAAATAGGGCTTATTCAGGCTGGTCCTTACCATACATGAAGAAACTGTTATTACCTATCAGCCGAACAACGTTAATTAGGTGATGATTCCTTCCGCTCCCCCATCACAATGTTCACGTTCTGAAATTTCCACCCAGGTTGAGGTCTACACACATTTTATGTCCCAAATGGTGCCTCTCTTTGAAGGGGCTGCAGTCTTGTAGCTCAGTGGTTACAGCACTCGCCTCGCAAGCGAGAGACCTGGTTTCAATTCCCGGCAAGGCGAAACGTTGGGCAAGTTTCCTTACTCCACACATACACCTCTGTTTAGGAGAGTCAAAACTATTTGTCAATAAAGCATGAAATTACCGTATTAGCCATTGGAAGTCCTGGGTCCATGAGTCCAAGAATGTCATCATTATAACTCGACTCCAAACTGATAATGTCGTCAATTACATCATCCATCTATGTCAAATAAGGAAAAAAAATGTTTAAGGGAATGAAAACAATAAAGCATCTGCCTGGAGACAGTGATTTTTTTTTAAATTGAACAAATATCTTTGATCTATTCCTGGTATTGTCATTTTGCAAGCTGCCTCGTCTATAGCTTTGGGAGGAAATGTGAGATCACACCAAAGCCTCCTTCTCATCATAAAACGTGTTAAAATTATCACCATCAGCACCATCTGTTACAGCAAAGCTCTTTTCGTGAGAAGAACAAAACTGTAAAATCATACTGTGATTGCGTTTGTCAGCAATCAGGTTTTGTAAAATCGTTATTGTTTGACATTTCTGAACGCTGCTAATGAATGCATAACATTGAAAGTACACGAGCGACAAATAAATAAATATTGTCAAAGTCCAGCTTTCCTCTGGCAAAAGACATACAGTCGCTAAAGGCTCCTACAATGACTGAAATGGGCTCTTTTAGACACAAATGCAGAGTTTTCTGAGACACTGCATTCTGAAAGCTGCATTTGTAACTTTACCCTCAAATTAAACACACCATATATATGTGTGCAATCTATAAAAATAACTGACACTTGCCAATATTACAATTTATCCCATATGGACAAGTTCGGTACGTAGAACGACTTAAAGTTCTGAAATAAACAGTATCCCTTCTGATTGACCTATGTAGACCCAAAGCTTAACTCTTACCTCGCCAAACAGATCTGTGCACCATAAGCTCAACATGTGACCAACATTTTAATAGTTTAAAATGAACACCGAGCATTTCAAAATAATTTGTCGCGGTTCCATTATACACGGCGCTAGACCCAGCCTACTGTGTTAATCATTAAAGCAAATATTTTCGTGGAAAAGATGGGGGAACTTCCCTAAGTTGATCAAGGATGGTTTTTTTAAGAAAAATACTAAAATGGTAAGGAGAGGAAGGCATGATTGCGAGGTTATAAACAAACAATAAAATAAAGGGCCAAGAAATGCTATTTGATGTAGAACTAAAATGCTCACTGTGCGGGTGGATGGGAGAGGGAGTGGACAGAGTGGGGGGGAAAGGGGGTAGGAATACATAAAACTGTTGCTGTCTAACACGTGCACAAAGCATGTTGTGCTGCGTTCCAACAGGGAAGCATAACCATTCGGCAACCCTGAGTGACCTGCTATCTCACAGTTCTATACGCTTTGCTTTAAAATCGAATGGTCCGCCACATTATGTGTTAATCAGAACAATTCGCGCATCACATTCAGAAGGTTTTCGGTTTAAGGGTGTCAGTATTGATAAATCTCATTACCATTTTCATTTCCGGCAACCACACCTGGAAAAGAAAGAGAAATAAAGTCAATTAACATCAGATATGCAGAAAAACAAGGTCTCTCGTATTTTTTTTTGACATAAATACACGTGGGAATTGTAGCACGTGGTCAGATTGACAGTGCGGAATGTAACTGTAAACAAACAGGTCTCACAAATGAAAATGAAATCCCTTTTAATGCAAACAAGTCTCCTCAGGGTGTCAATCAGGGGAGAAATAGAGAACATAATAGAGAAAGTGGATTGACGTATTGAGTGATTGTAAAAGAAAATCAGCAAAGTTGCTGCCAATAATGACTGCTTTCACCTGCCCTGCTTTCTGAGCCACCTGATGGGACTTTGTTTATAATGTGTTCACCTTGCTCAATTTGCCCAGGATTCAGATAAGGTCTAATAATATTCCTAATTAGAATTTCAAGCACAGAGGAAAAACGCTTAAAGGATGAGATTTAATTTTTTCTATGTATTGTTATATTTTGATTCTATGGGCCCAGAGTCTACATTTACAGCCCAAAAATCGCTGTATTAATGTTTGTTACTGTTGTAGCTTGCAATTCAGAAAGTGTCATTGTGGCAAATAGTCTTCTTTTTACTCAATCCTTCTTCCTCTGAGCAGCATTATTACAGAATGGCTAAAGTGCTGATCCTAAAGCAAGGATCAACTCTGTATCACTAACTTTGTTGCTTTTGATGCTAGTTTTGAAAGTAAGTAAAAAAAATTGCTATTCTTTCAGAGGGTTCACTTTCCTGCAAACAAAACTGTGTGTTCTAATAATAATAAACCTTGCATTTGAGATAGCGCCTTATCACGGCTTTGAGACGTCTCAAAGTGCTTCACAGAGTATACTGTAAATAGATTATTACCCCCAGAAAAGTGTACCGTCAATCGACTAACAACCAGGTTCCTACTTACTACTAGGTAAATAATAAGGAAACTTGCTCAACATTTCGCCCTGCCTGAGAATTGAACCCAGGTTTCCCTCTTGCGAGGCGAGTGCTCTAACCACTGAGCTACAGGACTCCACTAGTAACTGTTTTATGCATCCGCTGGTTAGGTTTTGTTGCTTTGCATTGACTTTGTTGGCATTAAACTCACGTCATTTATTCTGGTGTGAAAATGTACCTTCTACCCCCTCTTTGATGGTGCATTGTACAGACAATTAATGCTGGTTCAATGATTATAATAAATGACAGCATATTTACCAGCACCAGAGAGGTATATTCTCTGCTAAATTACACAAGACGGGTATTTTACATGCATCACAAGATTTGGAAGGAACAACAAGATTTACATAACTTTTGAGAAATCAATTACATAGAGTCTTCGGGAATGTAATATTGTAAGAGAGAATGTCACATGGATTTCATTTCTTTGCTAACTTTAAAAATTCTATCTGCTGGGGCTAATCACTAGGACTTTGTTGATGTTGGTGATGTGGTTTATTGTTTATTGTCGTGAGGCGAGGTGGGATGGGGGAGGAGTGGAGAGAGAGAGAGACAGTGTGGAGATATTGCTGAAAGGAAATGATTGCGCACTAAGTGTTTGCATTCAAACTGCAAAAAAAATCCTTTCCGCATTATAACAATCCCACTGGTCAATGTAGTCACACACAGATAGAAATAGCCTTGGACATGTCTTTCCTCCCTCCCCTCTAATTACAGCAGGAAATGGGAACAAAATCCACAGGGGACATGTCAGCAGGGATGATCAGGAGAATCTAGGACATGTACAGGAACCACATGGGCAGACCCATGGCAAACACAGTTCAACATAGATAAATGCAGCACATTATGGGGAAAAAAACATAGAATGGAAGTATACAGCAAAACTGCTTATGGCGCGAGGGATCTAAGAGTGCAGGCACGTAGATTGTTAAAAGTAAGCTATCAAAGCAAAACAAAGGGCAAATGGGTTAGCAGACATTTTATATATGGGGGATAGAATATTCTCCAATTGGCTGCGATAAGCCTTTTACCCCTAAAAAAAATCTGCATTAGTCATTCTGAAGACATTGATTCATGCTCGGATTCAAGCTTTCACCAGCACAAGAAGCCTTCTTGTGTCTTACTCAAGAGGTTATTTTTCATGTGTGAGCCTAAGACAGACTTGTTATAAGGCTGTGGGACAGTGGAGGCATCAGTGCTCAGCTTAACTCACCCAATCAGTCTTGCATGTGCACATTTCCAATAGTGAACTGAAGCAAGAACCATGGCTGACTATTGCCCTCCCTGGCTGAAGGGCTAATCATAAATACCAAATTCCTATTCCCAGCCGAGATCCACTAACTACACCATAAACAAGGACTAATAATAATCCTTGCATTTGATACAGTGCCTTGTCACGTCTTTGAAACATCTCAAAGCGCTTCACAGAATTTACTGTAAAGTGAACTGACTGTATATGCTGCGTATTGGACAGCTCAAAAAGTGAGTTTACCATGTAGATATACTGCATGGGTCACAGTGCAGGAGCAACTCCAATACCTCAAGCCAATTTGTGTTTAATTCTGACTGCTCTGTATTCTTAACAGTAGAATGACTATACTCTCCATTTTGCTGCCAACAATACGACATTGAGGCAAACTGATACACTTCAAAACACTCTGTCCTTGTACCGCCTACACAGATTTGATTTTAAACTATATTGAGCAAATTTGAACAACATTCTTGTCCTAAAAGTATGATCCAGTCACAAAATGCCCAGAATTACCATTAGGGTTGCAATCTTTCTAGCAAATAAAATGTTCAAAATAATTTTAGCTGAACTGGGCAGAAGTTTGGCTAAGGACTGAAATTCCCCCTCATCATAGCCTGTTAAGTCCACTTTGTCTTAACATTTTAAGATAAATAAAAGAACTTTGTTCATTTCAATCTTAATTATTAAGCTGCTTTTTGACAACCCTTAAAGATGAAACCATCCTCCAAATTCAATCTAAATTTAAGAATTTTCCACAGTTCTGCGTGGTCTTAAATTGTAAGAATAATCCTTGAATTTGATATAGCGCCTTATCATGTCTCAAAGCGCTTCACAGGATATACTGTAAAGTGAATTGACTGTATTTTGTGGGCGAAACGACATAAAGCCTTAGGTACAGTGTAGATTGCAAGACAAAATGGTTGTGTAAGACAAAATGGTGAAGAGCTTATCAAACGCAAGGATTGTTATTATTAACAAGCAGAGATTTGGTGGAATTTCTGACTTTTTTGATTTACGTTATTCAATAAATTACAGTTTATTCCCGACCCAACATTTTCCATTCAAAAAAAAACAATAATCCCAGAGTTTACCTCTTTCTCACAGTGTGAACCGATGTTGAGCATAGCCATAGGGCTGTTAGGTGCGCTGCTTCCAGGTCCTGGAGGCATTACGTGATCATTTGGCTGGTTAGAACAGGGCATACTCAAGGCATGGTTTGTCAGCTTGTTCCCCAAGGTGGTTGACAGATACTGCTTTACCTGCTGCCTCTGGGCCTGCTGAATGTGGTATTTGGTTGGATTTTCAAGGTGGGTTTGCACCTAAATACAAGGTTCAAACAAAGAAAAAAAAATAAGAGTAAACAGACATAAATTTCATACGCTTACTCTATTGAAACAGTCCCAGCAGAACATAATACTGTGCACAGAAATAATTCAAGCCTTCAAATCTAGAATGTTCTGCTGGCGAAGAAGATTTGTGAAGACCTGGAGCAAAGAAAAATACAAGTCCACCTTGATCATTACCAAAACAATATCGTGCAATTTCTAAGTGTGACTTTGATGCAGAGTTTTATAGGAACGACACAAGTTTAGAATGCTTCAGAAACAAAGGGCTGAATTGCAAGCCTGTCTCGCTGCTTGAAGTGCCTCTGAGATGTCACTGTATCTCACCGTTACCCAACGTGAACAAATAAACACACCTTAAACGTGAAAAATGTACAGCTCTTTGTAGTGCTCAGCTCAATAAAAGGCATAACAAATTACAAAATGAATTGAAACTTTTAATCTCAAACACTTAAAACACTTAAGCTTTGCGGAGAGCAGCTTTTTGAAGACTGATGAGGAATTCCATTCAGAAACGCGCACATATTTATTTACAACTCTTGGACATCCCATCTGGTAATTGAAGGAATAGTAAAGAATATACATAGCCCAACAGATACGCTCACACGAACGATCAAGTCGTCACTGACTGAAATAATTGAACCTGTTGAGTAACTTGTAAAACAGGCAGTTGCCTCAATAATTGACTTGGAAAAGAGAACAGAAACTGGAACTGATCAAACATAATAGCTTATATAATTTGTTTTAAATTAAAGGAAGTCACTTTACCTGGTAATGATTAAGTTCAAGCATCTTAACTGTGTTTTACAAACAAACAAACACAGAAACTGTCTGCCGTCTTTCTTTAATTATTCCCCACAAGAACAGCCACTGGTTGGAGTCTATTAGTACCAGTCAACTATGATCCAAATCAGATTTACCAAATAACCCAGATAGAATGCCACCAAGTTATAAAAAAAATCTCCTTTAATTAGTTATGCATGTAAGGAAATCAACAGTAGACAAACGAGCCTTTCAAGATGCTATGGCATTTAGACTTAAATAATTTGCCAATAGCTGTTTTTTTTACATTGCTTTGACGTCACCATTTCTTGTGCTTAAAATGGGCTCTTTCATGTGTGGAACCATCATTTTTGACTGGCCAATGCTCCAAGGGCAATTAAATTTTTGGTTCCGGTCCTTAACATTACAACTGGAAAACTGAACAAGGCTCACAAAGAAGCCTCCTACAAAGAGCATTGATAGAATTGATTGTGGAAAAGTCCAAATATGACAAGATATATACACACAGATATAGAAATTAATTGTAAACTGACTTCTCGTTTATTTTGCTCAGGCCCATTGCGGACTGTTTTTTCGACACACATCCTCCTCTAAGAGAATAGGATTGACTGGTTTGCAATGAATATCATTCTGTCGACAAAGGTGACTGAAGAGCAGCGAGCCAATCACCCTCAGATTATCCTTCTTCTAAACTCGGGTCTCGCCACCGCTCAACAGTTAATTCATCCTCTCACTTGACCAGAAGCGAATGCCCATCAGGGAGAGATGAACACTGGGGCAGGCACCTCCAGGGCTGAGGCGAAAGAACTCAACCACTTTCACAAAGTGCAACATTTCTAGACAATTTACATTTTTTTCTTTGCCTTTTTTAAAAATAAAACCCAAATAGCAAAGACCCAAGGTCAGTCAGTAGGCCAGCCAGCAGTGTTAAGCGCTGTTAAAGTTATTTCAAGACCTTTGTTCATTTGGTCTTGGATTCTGAAAGAAGTACCTGGATTGATTTTCTTCATTGGTCACCCCAGATCGACAAAGACCTGAAATTCTACCTAGTCTTAGTCTATATGACCAAGAATTCAAGAATGTGCCGAATTGTGGAAAATTCTGAATCCCGGTCTTAATTTGGAAGCTGGTTTGCCTCAGTTCTCAAAATGTCCTGATTTCCAAATTAAGATTTTTATCACCCAAATCTGAGCCATTGTAAATTGTAAGATAAAATTGCAGGACAGAGCTTAAGTGGAACTTGGGACCTCAGGCGCACTGATTGAAAGCTCCTCCAGACTACAGAATTGTGCCACAAACAAATACATCGCAAAGATTTTGCATGCTATTGGCAGTGCACAGTGAGAGCATTCAAGTAACGGAACCCAAGTTTCAAGCTGTCCTTGCTGATTTACAAAATTTGTTACTCTTCAGACCTCAGCAAATGTATGAAGCTGGAAAACACTTCACTATCCATAACCTCTAGGATGCAGTTGTTCATGGACTACAAGACGCACTCTTTGGTGCCTGGAAACTTTTAGCTTCTCTATTCGTAAGCTTACCCTTTAGCCTCACTCTTTCTTAAACAGTGTGGAAATACCCACAAAATCTCCTGTTGTATTTCATGGCAAAATCAATTGTTGTTACGCCCACCGGCCGGGCCTGTTATTTCCTACTCTGTGCATTCAAAATAAATACGAATCAGATATGGATTAAAGAAAATCTAATATTACATTCTTCACAACAGATATATATTGCTAGCTGCTAATTGAAGACAATTTTATTACACTGAGCTCTCTCACTCTCTCTCTCGAAATCTAAGATAATCACATCTACAATATAAACAGTTATCTAGAAGGTTAATAATTTCTTGTTATTCGTAGGCAAAATGAGATGATAGAGGCATATTCGGTCCTAAATATAACTTGGTTAGTTCTGAAGTAAAAACATGTACGGTATGTATTTTTTCTTTCTTTTTCTCCCTTATTGTTGCAAAATTAATTACAAGGACCCATCTTCTACTTCAAAGGTAAGAGTTCCTATCCTTCCACTTTAAATTGGTTTTACAATCTGACTTAAAGCAGCTCTATTTATCTATTGCTTGCATTTTCCCCCCATTTGTGAGCAGTACGTTCACCGCTTTCCCATAATTTCCTTTTTTTTTACATATTTCCTTTGTTCGTTCCTGTTATTCTTTAAATTTGTTTATTTCTGGGCTTCATTTCATTTCTGTCTTCTCTCTTCAGTTTTGAAGTCCAAGCAACAGGAGAATCATAATTTCACAGTGGATTAAATGAACTATAGTTACCCAAGGAATCAAATGAACAGGGTAACTGCTTATTAGAAATACCATAAATGGGGTGATGCAAGAGTGTTCATGAGGGGAAGGGGGGTCAATAGGTAGGCTGAAGTAAAGCAAGATGATGTTTACAGCAACAGTTACAGATAGACACGAGCTGCTGGAAAGGCAGAGTGATTCTGTCATATTTCTGGCGTATTTCTCTGACACACACTGTCAAAGCAATTGGTGCAAAATTAATAGGAGTGTTCGGGAAAAAAAACTCTCCTAAATAATATGACAGCACTGGTTATGCACCATTATCAGTAACAATAATCCTTTCATACCAGGCCATAGGGGAAAGGCGTGTTGCTCAGTATTACTGGGTCAGCTTGGTTCAGTGATAGCACTCTCACCTCTAAGTCGGAAGGTTGTGGGTTCTAATTCCACCTCGGGACTCGAATTTACATGACCTAAGATGACACTCCAATGCAATGTTGAGTGTGTGCTGCATTGATTGAGGTACTGTCCTTTGGATGAGATGTTCAACCCAGGTCCTGTCTACCTGTTCAGGTGGACATTACAGATCCTATGGCGCGATTTGAAAAGAGAAGGGAGTTGCTCCCGGAGTCCGGACCAACAGTCCCCCAAATAAAAAATTGGGTCATTCGTTTCATGGCTGTTTGAGAGACACTGCTGTGCTTGATTGGTCTGCCACGTTCTCCTACAAACACACAGTCACTCTATTGACAGTAAAATGCACTTTGAGACATCCTTCCGATGTGATAAGGCACTATACCAATGCAAGGATTATTAATATTATTAAATGACAAATGACACTTCTGGATTTAAAGTTCAGCTTCTTTTATTCAAAACTCCGGTTCGTAAACTTTATAAATAATATTTTTTTTTGCATTTGATATAGAGCCACATTGTTGCAAAACATCCCAGAGCATTTCATAGAGTTTTCTGTGAAGTGCTGCAATCCTGTATTTGTAGACAAACATGGTAGTCAATTTGCGCAAAGCAATGTCCTCCAAATTGCCAAGAGGTGAATGAGTAATTAACTGGATGATTGTTAGATTGGGAGAAACTCCCTTCGCTTTTTGAATAGTGTCATGGGCTCCTTAATAACGACCAAGCGATTTAACATCTCATCCAAAGGTCGACCTCCAGCAAACCACTGTTATCCCAACACTGCACTGGAGTGTCAACCTCAGCTATGAGCTCAAAGCCCCTGAGTCTTGCCTATAAACTTTCCGTTTAAAGGCACTATCCAGAACTGGAGAGCTCATTATTGCATTTTTCAATTGCCTGAAAAATTTACAAAAAAGTCAAATTAACACATTTTATAAAGAACAGCCACAGAGAAAAAAATAAACTTGCATTTTTACACCGTTTTATCATGGCAAAACATCTCAAAGCGCTTTATGGCAGTTACTATCAAGTATAATGTCCACTGTACAGGCAAACACAACATAAGGTCCCTCATATGGCAATGATGTGAAACTTATGTGTACAACCTATATAGAGGATTGCTGGGCAGGACACTAAGAGAAACCTTGGAGTCCTGTAGCTCAGTGGTTGCAAGCGAGTGACCTGGGTTTGATTCCCAGCCTGGCAGGGGAAACCTTGGCAAGATCCTTACGCCTGATAATAATCCCTCAAGAGAAAAAAAATAATAAATTGGTTACTTCAATCCACGACTGTTTGTGGGACACTGCTGTGCGCAATTGGCTGCCATGTTTCGCCCACAAATATATAATCAATTCAGTCAATACTTGTCAATATAAGCTAGACGATACAATCTTAAAGGGGGTGAAGGAACAGAGAGACCTGGAGATTCATATAAGTAAAAAAGCATATGGGATACTAGGCTTTATAAACAGAAGCATAGAATACAAAAGTCAGGTAGTTATGATGAACCTTTATAAAA